CCCCTCACACGTTTCGTGGTCCAATACGAGCTCCACCTACGGCCCCAGTGGCCGCGTTCACATGTGTCACCGTCGCACATTTCGACGCCCCTCTGACACGTTTCCTGGCCCAATACGAGCTCCACCTAAGGCCCCAGTGGCCGCGTTCACATCTGTCACCGTCGCACATTTCGGCACCCCTCTGACACGTTTCCTGGCCCAGTAGGCAGCTCCACCAGAGGCCCCAGGGGGTGCGTCCGCGTGCGGTCCCCCAGCACATGTCGGGACACCCTGACGCGTCCTGTGGCCCCATTTTGGACTTCCGCATGCGGCCCCACGGAGTGCGTCCACGTGCGGCTCCCCGCCAATCGTGCCAACCTCTCTTACGCTTCGTGGCCCCACTGGGAGCCCCACCCGAGCCTCTGGGGGCCGCGTCCACACTCGGTCCCCCCGCCCGCCCATGTTGGCACACCCCTCACACGTTCCGTGGCCCTTCTCGTCCACATGTCGGATGTTGTTAGAAGTGCCCCCATGGCCCAAGGTGCCACCAGGATTTCCAAGGAGGCCCCCACGGCCTCCAGAGCACCCCTCACGAGGCCCAGGGGGCCCCAGGGGATCCAGAATGGCGCGGAAAGCTGGGGGCACCTTGGGCCAGCGGCACCTCTGGCCCCCCCCGCGCATCTCGGCACACCCCTTACGCGTGTCGTGGCCCCGCAGGGACCTCCCCCTCTCCTGCCCCGACCTGCCCTGCGATATGCAGGCCGGAGTAGGGCCGGGCCCCTCACCAGGAGAGGGCTCTCAGCGTGGCCCTCTGGGCATCTGGATTCATTCAGCAGAGTACCACCCCGGATCCGAATATCGGCACGAACGAAACGGGTACGGGAAGAATGGGCACAATGCTAAACAGCGGTTCCTGTTCATTTTGAACAGGACTCGCTGTCGGTGTCGCTGCGGCCTGTTTTCATTTGAGACAGAAGGCCGCCTGCCCAACAGCGGCCGCTGCTGATTTGGGACAACATTTGCTGTTGGGCATTGAGCCAATTTTTTCCGTACCCATTTCGGGCGTCCAAATAATAAGACAGTGAATTCGTGGCCTAATTTAGGCCCAAAGACATTACACCGGGGAAAGAACCCAATCAGTGGAGGGTCCGAAAGTTTTGCAAGCACCATGCCCGGCCGCAGTTTCGCAAGAGGGCCCTAAGAGGCTGACTCATTGATTGCCCTTGCGTGTTGGAAGGGTTGTGGAATCCTTGCCATTTCGGGCATCCGTCGGCTCAAAATGGCTTAGGAGGTCGCCAATATTGCCTCAGGACGGCTTTTTTGATTTGATCCTGGCAATGCCAAACTGTACAATCACTTCCGCCTCCGAGTCTTGACGACCTGGTTCTGGCGGGCCCACTGGCTGCGACCCGGTGGTTGCCCCTTGGCAACCTTCTTTAGCATCCTGGAGCCGTAATCACTGAGGTGACCTGCACACGGATGCTTTAAATTGCGAACCGCCAAGGCCGCGATAAAACCGCACGAGAAACAAACCGTGGTGCCCCATGTCTTACTGTACCCTAACATGTGGGACGGATGCAAGCTCTGACCATTCACCACAGCACCCTGTGGTATCATCACCACTCCATTGAACAAACCCGCATGGCAAGGAGTGCTGAGAAACTGACGGGCCAGGGAGCGTGGGGCCGAGCCTCCACAGACTTCACATTGGATTATGTTCCTCCTACCCTCCTTTGGCGAGTGAGCCGTAAGATCCAGCTGGGTCTTATACTCTCTAAAATGCCGCTGCACAACCTTTTCTCGAGGGGCCCTGTCGCCGTCCGCTTCGATCGCAGACAACAGCGTGTGCCCTAGGTGGTCCCTAACCTGGAAAGCAATCCCTTGGGCGAAGGACCTGCTGTCTCGGTCCTTTTCTGGCACACGAAGGTGGTCTGTCCACGAACTGGCGATACTGTCTGCCACTTCATTGATTAGGTAGTGCAACTGATCCGCACCAGCGGCTGAGACGTGCTCGGCAATCCTATGGCTCTCAACCTTGACTACAATGACTACAACCAATTCCCGTTCGGGGTGCGTCTGGATGAGAGCTCTGAGCTGGTGCCACACATCTAGGTGAGACTCTGGATTGATCCCTGCCCTCAACTTGGCAAGGTTATTGACTACATACGAAGAGTCCGTAACAAAATAGGCAGAGGCAGACGGAAACACAGCCCGCACGAACTCAACCAAGCACAAAACCTCACCGCGGTTGACCGACTGCCTCGTCCCTGGGATATTGCCAAATCCTGCAGCGTGCGTGCGAAGGCTTTCGATCGAGTGCTGACCGTCCTCGTCGAGCCCTCTCAGCGCCACCCAAGACCAGGCAACTCTGCGCAGCGCAGGATCCTCTGTGTCCTGGCCGCCACTCGCGTCCCCACCACCGACAACGAAACCGTTCACAGCGGCCACACCCAAGTCACCTCCCAACCTACGGAAGTCGGCAACATCAGGTGGCGGAGGGACGGCGGTCCAAGAGCTGGGC